TTTTTACTTTAGACTAAGACCTTGAGCCATCATTGATATATAGTTCCTAGAAACAAATAAGATAGAAACTAAACATTTTAAATAACATATATTGACACAGGCATTTATTGCTATTAAAATATTTCAGAGAATAAAATTATGGAATTTACCTTTCTAAATGAGTCAAATTAGACAAGTTATTTTATGTTATTCTTTCATTTTCCTTAATTGAATTGCAGAAAAGCAGCAAAAAAGAAGATAGCAGAAAAATTTATACAGAATACTCTATACAAAATTGGTAGTGCCACTCATGACAAAGAGGAAAATTAAAAATTGCACAGAAATTTTAATTAAAAATTACCACATTTCTATAAAAATTCAAGATGTTGAGAGTCTACCTGTTGACTTTATCAAAACTATTCATAGATTTTTACATGCCTTCCTAAATAAATAGGTCTTTTACCTCAGGTTTTTTCTTATGAAACTAAATCTAGCTTATTTTGAAAACTATGTTCTGTGCATCAAAAACATACTACTGAATAAAAATTTAGAGTACTTTTTTATGTGGGTCACTGCCCTAAGTACTTTAAAATATTAAATAATCTGAAGAGACTTATGAAGTTAATGTCATTATTATTTATTTTCATTTTAAAGTGAAGAAAATTCAGCACATCGAAGAGGAGAAATTTTCCCAACAACACTGTAGCCATTATGATTTTCACACACACTAATCTGGTTTGAGATCCCATGCACTTAATGACTAGGCTAGGTGCTTCCACCAACTTCTTCTACAGACAGGTAAAAAGAATGAGTAGATACTAAAATGTGAAGATTAAAATATAGTAAATTTAATTTGTTGCAGATTTAGTTTCATACGTCAGACCTCATATGCCATGCAAAGTATGAATAGTATTTCAAAGAGTAAGTAAAAGCAAAGTATGATGAGAATTAAGAACTAGATTTAGCATAGTGATAGTTATTGGTGATTTTGACTTTTATTTTTAAAAAGTTAAGTGTTTACAGTCCCCCCAAATATAAAGACCCGATTCAAAAATGGGCATCCAAAATGAACAGACATTTCTCAGACAAAGAAGTAAAAGCAGCAAGAAAATATTTGAAAAAATGTTCCACATCACTGGTCATTCGAGAGATGCAGATGAAAACAACACTGAGATTCCACCTCACCCCACAAAGAATGGCTGCTATCAAGAAATCACACAATAACAAATGTTGGTGGGTTGTGGGGAGAAAGGAACCCTTCTCCATTGTTGGTGGGAGTGCAGATTAGTGCAACCACTGTGGAAATCAATATGGAGATACCTCAAAGAACTAGGACTGGAGATTCCATTTGACCCAGCCATCCCTCTGCTGGGTATCTTTCCAAGAGAACTAAAACAATGATATCACAGAGAAGTATGTGCACCCATGTTTATAGCGGCACAGTTTGTAATCTAAATCTTGTCTATAAAATGGAATATTACTCAGCCATAAAGAGCGAGAGAATAGATTCATTCATAGGAAAATGGATACATATTGAAGATATACTCCTAAGTGAAATAAATAAGTCACACATGTGTAAATACCAAATAGTTTCCCTGGTGTGAATATTCTGCAACAATGCATAAGATTCTAATAAGATTACTGACATTTAGAAGTTTGAAGAAAGGAGCTAAAGGTGTAGGGAAGGTGTGATGCGTAGGGGAAGAACAAAAAGGGAAAAGAAAAAAATGTGAGAGAATGAAAAAATGAAAATAAAGTGTTTGTAGATGGGGAGGGGAGGAGGGGTTGAAGGGAGGGCAGAGGTAAGGGGAAAAAATGAGAATCAAGACTTGCCATGTAAAGGTACATGATCCCAACAATGAATGTAACTGTACTGTATCCCTAAAATGTACCAATAAACTCAATAAAATTTAAAAAAAATTATACAGGAGAGAGACTTTGAAGGCTGTGTAAAGGAACCTGACCAACTTAAGTCACAACCGGCCCTCACGAAAGAAATGAGTTTGTAAATCAAGACATATTGCCATTAATCTCCCCCAAGGGAGATTGCTTCCAACACATTTGTGCCATAATTCTTTTACTTTCTGAAAAGTTTCCGGTACTCCTCTTGCATGAGTGTTTTTAGTTACACTTTGGTGGCTTCCTCAATATTTTGAAGTAGTTCAAAATGTTTACATTTCATGGTTAGTTTGACTTTGGGGAAGAGCCAAAAGGTGCATAAAGCCATATCTGATGAATAAGGTAGAGGAGGACACGATGTTTTCATGAGCCTGCTTTTCAGTTGGAGGGCATACCACAGCTGCATTTGGCATATTTTTTATCACACCTTATGAAGATACAGAAGAGGATTGCCAGAACTGCTTCAGAAAGTATCAAGAATGATAGAATAATGTGCTGGAAGAAAGGAGGAGTATTTTAAGGGGGATTAAAAGCAATATCAATCGCTTTTTCCTCTAATAGACTTTTAAAAGTTACATATTCACTGGATATTTTAATCACCCCTTGTATAGTTGTGTTATTAAAGTTTCCCAAACAGATTGATCTATGTTATTGGAATATGGACAGTGTCCTCTAAAGGTCATTGTGTAAAAGCTTGGTCTTTCTGAGGCAACAGTATTTGGAGAGGTACTATGCACATTTAAGAGGCTGGTCCTATTGCATGGTCCCTTAATCATAGGGGTTGTTCCCCTGATGAAGACAGTGGGAACTCAGACTATTTTTTTTTCCTGTTTCCTGGCTTATGATAAAAATGGTGTGACCACTAATGATGATATGTCAACTTGATTGGGTTAAGCAATGCCTAGATTAATGAAGTACCCTTGGGTATACTTATGTGAGTCATGCAAATGTGATCTTGAGTACCTATTATATATGGTTCCTGACCCCTTTCTTCTCTGGTACCATTCCCCTACTCTGCTTCCCATCACCATGAACTAAGCCTCTTTTCTTTGCCACACCATTATGCCATGATTTTTCTACTTTGTATTCAGATGGCCATGGATTGGATCCCTTGCTAACACAACCAAATCAAACTCCTCCTTTAAATTGTGGGTGTTGGGGATTGGGTCTCAGTGATGGGAAAACAGAGTAATAGAGAAAATTGATTTCAGAGAAGTGGAATCATTGCTGTGACTATATCAAAGTCTTAAAAGCCTTTGAAATTGGTTACCAGGATGTTTTCAGAAAATTTGATGAAGTGGGCTAGAAAAGGCCTGGAATACTGTTTACAGCATGATATATGATTCAGGCGGGAGCTCAAAAGACCAGAATACTGACAGAAATTGGAACAAGAAGGGGCAGGCTCAGGCGGTTTCAGATGGCAAAAAGGATTGTACTGGGAAATGAACTTGTCATGAGACTGGAAATTAAGGGCAGTAGACTGATCTCAAGGAGGACATTTCAAGACAGCCCCACATTCAAGCTATGGAATGGAACTGCTGGCTGCTTTCAGCCATATTTATGGAGACAAAAAAAAAAGCACAAAAATTTGAAAAATTTAAATTTTGACATATAAGGAATTTAATGTAAAATTGGGACCAAAGGAGATTTGGTTGCTAAAGTATTTAGTATCATAAAAAATGAACAAATAAAAACAAGTGCCTTGTACATAGACAAGAAGATGCCTTGAGGACATCTCAAAAACTAGTAAGACTCCACCTAAGACTAAAGAGTGTAAAAACTCCCACATTTCATTTGAGAAAATAGTCTCTGAGATATCTTCTTGAGAAAGGATGCCTAATCAAGAAGGGACTCTGTGACTAGTTCTAAAATGTCTCTCAAAAGTCTCATGTGTCAGGAGCTCCTGGAGCCTTGATAGGGGTGAGTTACTGGAGGTATGAACTGGAAAGGTACATTCCTGTTGCCAATTCCTATCCAATTTATGTCTTTTACGTAGCTGTCCTGAGACGAGCAGCTTTCTTCTTCCATTCCCTTCTAGAATGCCATTTCTGCCTTAGAGTCAGCCAACCATTTAGAGAGACTGAACACTCTAAAACCATAATCATGGAAAGACTTTCCTTTTTTAAATTGTGTATGTTGGGTATTTTATTCCAGTGACAGAAAAGATGACAAATACAGCCTCCTAGGGAATTTATTCTCCAAGATTCATTTCACTTTACACAGCATCCAGGTACTCGGAGACCACTGCAGCCATGGTCAAGGGGGCCTGCATACTGCTTCCACTAAGGGCAGAATTTGGCATCATGCCTAAGATATTGGTTTTACTGGTGTGCAGAAAGTAAGAGGTATGGGGTCAGGGAGGCTTCCAGACAGATTTCAAAGGAAGGTCTAGGAAGTAAGGTAAGGAGCCTGAGAAGGCAGGGTATGAAGGTGTGGGAATAAAGGTGAAGGTGAAAGGGAGACCTCAGGAAGTAAAAAATGCCAGTATTATGCAATGTCTGCTTAGAAAAGCTGCAAGTGAAGCTAACCCAAGAGAGGCCATGTGGGCTGCAACCAGCAAAGCCATAGGGTAAGGCCGTCCAAGTCCTCTGGATTTCACATTTTACCACCATGTACCTCAGATGCTAGATATGGAACTACAATGTTTAATATTTGCCCTGATGGGTTTTGGTTTTAATCTTTTCCATCCCCTATTCCTCCTTTTTAGAATGGGAATATTTACCCTGTATCATTGTACTTTGAGACTATGCAATTTGTTTTTTATTTTTACAGAGATTCAAAGTTAAAAGTTTTCCTTGAGTTTCAGAAGAGACTTGCACATTTGAAAAATATTGGAATTATTGAGACTTGGGGGATGAGATTATTGCATTTTTGGTTGTATGTGAGATAGTTGTATCATATTAAGCAAAATTATTAATTTATTATTGTGTTTATTTCAAAATTAAGTATGATTTAAGGAGATTCAAGTGTCAAGTTGAGAAGGGGTGAACTGTGAATGTTGTGACATGTCAGTTTTGGTGGATTAAGAAACATCTAGCAGGGCTGGGGATTTAGCTCAGTGGCTCCACTGCCTGCCTCGCAAGTGCAAGGTCCTGGGTTTGATCTCTGGTACCAAAAAAGAAAAAAGAAAAAGAAACATCTAGCAGATTAGTAAAGACAGTTTTAGGTGTATCTGGGTGGGTCATGGAACATGACCCTGGTATTATGTATGATGCCTGGCTCATTTCTTCTCTGACACTGTTCTCTGTTCTGTTTCTCAGCTGCCAAAACTAAGCAGTGTAGCTCAGCCACACCCTTCTGCCATGATAGTTCTGCCTTGGAGCCAGATGACATGGAATGAATCCTCTGAACCTGTGAGACAAATTAAACCTCCTTTAAACTATGGATATTGGATATTGTGTCTCAGTGGTTCCTTGATTCACTAACTTCTTTCCACAATTCTAGTTGCAAACCAAACTGAATGAGAACCAAATGAAATTCAATAGTTAATCTGTTTGTGTTCTCATCCAACTGGATTTTCGACCAGAAACATGGAAATATTTAAGTTTATGAACAGAGGTGTCACTGTACAACTAGTTTGTTCTAGCATGTGCTCCCACCAAAATATGCTTCTCTTACACTGTAATCTCCTTCAGCATGAACCAAAATAAATCCTTTTTATTATGTTAATTACCTCAGATATTTTATTATATAAATTAAAGCTGATTAATACAGTCTATAACACTTCTTTTTAGAAAATTTTGCTACCATGAACTATGGTATTCTGTGTTGCCTGCTTAGTTGTAGCTTTGTGCACAACAATGACTGCTTCACTGAAGACATGTTTGTAGAAATAAAATTTTGAAGTTCTAACAATACTTCTAAGCCCATTGAAACAAGTCACCAAATCCTTTCTATGAAGGTTAGGTTTTCCCATACACATCCCTTCTGTTATCACTTTAAAGTATTTTGAAGAGATCTTGGAGTTAAATATTTCTTCTTTTGTTTCCTAACAGGAGAAATATCTGCTTGTTGCATACTAATGTTTAAATTACAAATTTATATAATTTTGCAAAATACTAAAAAATTCAACCATAACTTTAGCTGAGAGAGAAAACTGCTGAAAAACAATTGTGTTAAAGGCTGTAAGCTATTTGTTTCTGAATCACCTGTAATGAAAGCCTGACACACAGTAGGCATGCACTATTAAACTTCATTTTTTTCCTTTTTTTGTATTACTACTAAACACTTTTGGGGGCCCATACTGGAGATTAAACTCAGGGACTTGTGCATGCCAAACAAGTGCTCTGAGCTACATCCCCAAGCCCTGCAATATTTTGTAAATAAAAAAAGCTTCTAATATTTTTCTAGTCTCATACTTTTGCCTGATTTATTTAGGAATGTTTCATGAATGAAGTTTGAGTACAGCTTATCATCATGATAACAATTACAATTTCACAATTCATCAGTGTTTTTATGTCACTAAATACGGCAAAAAGACTGAAAAAGTTTACCTTTCCTACAATGATAGCAGGCTAAAATGTTTAGACCTTATCTTTAAGGAAATGGTGTCCCACAGAAAATTCCTTAGTGGAGGAATCAGACAAATCTCACTGTTTAGGGAAACTATTTTGACAATAATACGAACAATTATACTCTTTCTTTGTATAAATAAAACACATTTCTTTAGAATATGCTATTTTAACTGCAGTTTTAGAACACACCATCTATAAGGGGACACTTTACAAGTATTTAATCAAGATAATAAAAGTTTTGATTAACACTGAACTTTGAATATATGACTAGTTAGTTATACCTATAAAATAGCTGTCATGTGGCAGGATTATCATTTCAGAGAGTGACACTGAAAAGCCCAACTTAGAATGTTAGTATCAAAAGTGAGGCCTTCCCACAGAGAAGTTATTTTCCCAGATACTAACATTCAGTTCTTAATATAGCCAAATTTAAATCCAAGGCAAATATAATGATTCTCATTCTGTATGTGAAAAGCCTAATATCCAGAATTTAAGGAGTATCCTCAATGTCATAGAGACAAGAGTTGTATAACTGGAATCTGTGCTAGGTTACCTTCAATACCAGAATTTGCATGTTTAACTGCTTTGCTTCATCTCTAGACAATAAAAATACAGCACTGATTAGAATGTAGTGAACTACAGTAGAGTTCAAATCAATTTCTTAATTAACCATTAATAGCATTTCATTCTTTTTAAGTTTCTATATCTCATGTTTTTCTCCACTAGCTCGTCAGATATGAGCAGTGAGGGTGGTGGGTCATCATAAGTTGCTCTTTTGGGGAGGTAGCTGAGGTTGACTGAGCTGCTACAAGCTGCGTCCTCTGATGACAGGAAGTGGGGTGCTGGACCAAGATGTGAAATGGCCTCAACCAATTGCAAAAAGATCCTAGGTGGAGAGATGACCACAAACAAAACATAAAGCAGGACTAGGGATTTTCCACTCAGTGGGCATGCACCCTGATTGCCCTGAGCATCCCTGGGGTGATCTGTCCTCATTATTACTTGCTTAATGCTCTAGGGAAAAGGAGGAAACGCATGCACACTTCAAAATTGAAAGCAGTGCAGGGATAAATTGTGAGTATGTAAGAATAGAGTGGGGAGTAAACAAAGTCAAAAAGTATACCAAAATAAAAGAAACTAAAACCAAGAAATTCATGTTGCCCACACTCTGGGGTTGTCCCGGCTTGCTGTGAACCATATCCTCCTTTGCAACAAACTCTTTTCACTTTGAAACCACTTCGTCACATGACAGGGATCTGTGAGGTGGTCCTGGTGAATTCTTCTATATCACCAAGAACCAGAAAACTGAAGGGTGACAACACAACATGGCTTTGTAATAGAATTCTTCACTTCTCCGAGTCTCAAAATTTCTCCACCTGAAATACAAAGATAATACCACTAAGATTTCAATACAATTTGTGCCCTCTGAAACTAATGTTACAATTTAATACCCATTATGAGATACTAAGAAGTAGTATAAAATGAGATCTCTAACAGATGCTTAGAGTCTGTACTCATGAATAGATTTAAGCAACCAATGGGTTTCCTTTAGAGTTGGTCTGGTATGAAAGCCAGTTTGACTAGGTCTCTCTTGTGCCTCATGTTTCTTGGTATGTAATGCTCTACATAGCTCTGGGACTCTGCCATCATGAAGGCTTTCACTACATATGGCCCCTGGACCTTGGACTAGAAGCACAAACCAAAATAGACCTTTCTTTATAGCTGACCAGTCTGTGTATTGTGTTATTGAGCAACAAATACTCATTAAGACAACAACTTTGCAAAGCTTTTCTAACATTTAAGGCTTATATACACAAAGTGTCATGCACATTGCCTGACACAGTTATCATGAAGGCTAGAATTTAGTCTCAGCTCTAAATGTTAAATATTTTATAAACTGTATACCAACTGCATAATTAGTAATCTTTAAATTCCTCTTATTCCTCAAAATGATAAGCAAAAAATATCTGAAATATATTGGACTAATGTACTTCTCAAAGACAATATGGGTAAAATAAACAGATTATATCTCATGTTACATAGAGGAAAAAAACTGAGACATAAAAGTCCTACACAAAGATAATGAAATCTGGGGAAAGACTATTTAAAGTGAATTAATATAGAGCCAAGGATTTAGCTCAGTGATGCTGCCAACTGCCTCACAAGTACAAGGCAAGGTCCCAAGTTTGATCCCTGGTACCAAAAAAAAAAAAAAAAAAAAAAATAAAAAAAAAAAAAAAAAAAAAAAAAAAAAGAATTAATACAAAAGGCTCAGTCTTCATAGTATAAGTGGAGGAAAAATGACTTTGATTTTTTGGAAAATTAAACTAAAAACTAGGAAAATAAATTTAACTTTAGCAAAAATCTAGACTATATATTGGAGTGTACTATAAGAAAAAAGAAAAGAAGACAAGAAACTAGTTTTAATCTGGTGAGTGATTTAGGACTTAATACTAAAATGCATGAGTATTTCATTTTGTCCATGAACCAGAGATAATACCTTAATTATTATACTAAAATGTCTTTTTTTAAAGAGATAGATGTAACAAAAACACTGTCATTTCTATGAGGTGCCTAGGAAATTAAATCACTGTTTCACATCACTTTAATTATAAATATTAGAAATAATGCTTTACTATAATAAAACTACAAATACCTAAGCAAACATTTTAGTAAATGTGGAACTACATGGTGATAGGTTTTCCCTAAAAAAAAAAAACAAAAAAAACCTAAACCCAATACCTCATTAAGCAATATCCTGTCTCCTAGACAAAAACTTTCAGGTCTCCAAATGGTAATGACACTCACCTAAAAAATACTAAACACAGTTATGTGCATATGTCATAAAATTTCTCTCCAAAACAGATACACATTTATACTTAAAACTTATATAAATTATATATAAAGGTATATACTCTTTACCATAATCTTAAAAGCCCTCAAATATAATGACATACCAGGGCACTATCTTTGCAAAATGCAAGTGATTTATGGAAGATAGTAATATACTGTTTTCTCTGTGAGCACAGAACAGTATTCAGCTTTCGTATTTTATGAGTATTTAAAATTATCTTGGGCCAGAGATTTAGCTCAGTGGTGCTGCTGCCTGCCTCACAAGCTCAAAGTCCCAAGTTCAATCCCCAGTACCAATAAAAGTCTCAAGAAAAGCTGTTTTTTTCACTAAGTGGTATTAAACATAATCTTTCTACTGTTATCAAAAAGTTGTGTGACCACAGTTTTAAATATAGCTATAGTGAAATTTTCATTCTTTAAGCAGTGTATCTTTAAGAATGGGGGTGCTGGGATTTAGCTCCTCAGCGGTTCAGTGGCCTGCCAATCCCCGGCACACAAAAAAAAAAGAATGGGGGAAAAACACTTCCTGTTTGATAACCAGTTAGGAAGAAACTTTAGAGGACCCTATGGAAAGTTTGACAAATTTGCTGTTTCCCTCAAGGGCAATTTTTGTACAAAAAAGAGTGGAAACCACAAAGAAGGAGAAAGACAGAAAGTTGTTTTTTCAGAATTTAATATTTTAAGAAGACAAAAATATAAAAATTATCAAAATTGTAGTGGTTCATTTGGGGGCTAAATATAGAGATTGAAAGTCCTCATAATTGATACACGGCAAAAAGTAAACAAATATAAAAAAAATCACTAGCAGCTGCAGCTGTTTAATATAATGCCCACCTACAAAAAAGGTAGGATACAAAGTTAGTTGAGTGAGCAAACATAGTAACAATTTCAAAATAGTTACAGTTCTGGAGGTCCAAAATGAGGATCATCTTGGCTGCTTAGATTCTACTTCTTCAAGAAGCCACTCAATGCCACTCAAAAAGCCAGTGAGAGTATCAGCCTCCATATCCTGGACCTAGGAATAGATAAAAGTAAATGTCAGTAAGAAACTGGAGCCAAAAAAACTTATGATTAGGAGGGACACTTTTCTAGACATTAAAAAGGTTTACATTACAACTACTATCATAGAAATACAACAGATCATCAAATAAACACTATTATGAGCAAATACATCCAGGAAAACCTGGAAAAAATGGAAAAATTTCTGGACACATGTAATCTAGCTAATCTGAATCACAAAGATACAGAAAACCTAAACATATGAATAACAAACAGATTGAATCAATGAAAAAAGTCTCTCAATAAAGCAAAGTCCAGGACTGGATGGCCTCACTGCTAAATACTACAAAATTATAAGGAATGTTAAAAATGTTATAAAACATTAAGAAGGACTGGATTCTTCCAAATTTGTTCCATAAGACCAGCAATGCCCTAATACTAAATCAGACATGAACACAACATAAAAAAATTATAGGCTAGGAATTCCTTTTTTGTTTAGTTTTGTTTTAATACGTTGTTTATTGGTACATTTTAGGAATACAATATGGTGATAATTCATCACTGGGAATTTGTACCTTTCCATGATGTATCTTGTTTCTTTTTTTTTTCCTATTCCCCTGGCCCCCCACCACACCTCCACCTCTCCCCATTTACAAAAACTTTGTTTTTCCCTTTTTTTATTATTTATTATTTTTCCTTCCCCTACTCTTTGCACTTCCCCTTCAGGCCTTATCTTCCTATTTAACATTACTATTCTACATTTTAGTCTTTACTTACACTTTTAGCTTCTCATACCATGTGTGTCCTATTTTTTTCACTTAAGAGTAGGGCCTCAAGGTGCATCCATTTAGTTATAAATGTCTCTAGAGTTTCTCATTTATTATGGTTGAGTAGTATTCCATTTTATAAAAAAAATATATCTTCCTTATCCAGTCCCCAGTTGATGGGCAATTAGGCTGCTTCCAAGTTTTAGCTATTACAAACTGTGCCGCTATAAACATGGGTGTGCATAGATCACTGTGGTATGATTCTTTTAATTCTTTTGGGAAGATACCCAGAAGGCAAATAGCTGGGTCAAATGGGACCTCTAATCCTAGTTTTTTGAGGTATTTCCATATTGATTTCCACAGTGATTATACCAGATTACTCTCCCACCAACAGTGGAGAAGGGTTCCTTTTTCCCCATAACCTCACCAACATTTGTTATTAGTTGATTTCTTGATAGCAGCCATTCTTTCTGGAATGAGGTGAAATATCAGCATTGTTTTCATTTGCATCTCTCAAATGACCAGGGATGTTGAACATTTTTTTATATGTTTATTTGCTATTTCTACTTCTTTGAGAAAAGTCTGTTCATTTCAGATCCCCATTTTTGGATTGGGTCTTTAAATTTGGGAGGTCTATTTTTTTTTTAAATTCTTTACATATTCTAGATAGTAGACCTTTGCCTGAGGAACAGCTGGTAAATTTTTTTTTCCCACATTGTGTATTGTTTCTTCACCTGTTGTTGTTTTATCATTCTGTTGGTGGTTTCAATTGCTGTGCAGAAGCATTTTAGTAAGAGATCTCAGTTGCTGATTCTTGTGCTAGATCCTATGTGACTGAGGTTTTATTCATGAAATCTTTTTGAATGCTAATGTCTTCAAGAGTTCTATCTAACCTCTCTTCCAGCTGGCTTAGTGTTTCTGTTTTAATATTTAGATTCTTGATCCATTTCAATTTTAATTTAGTGCATGGTGAGAGATATAGGTCTAGTTTTAATCTTTGGCAAGTTGAAACCCAATTTTTTCAGCACCATTTATTAAAGAAGCTATCTTTCCTCCAGTGAGGGTATCTAGCTCCTTTGTCAAATATGAGGTGGCTGAGTAATCTGGAGTGGTTTCTGCATCTTCTAATTTGGTCCACTGATCCTCAGGTCTATTTATTTACCAGTACCATGTTATTTTCATCACAGTAGCTTTGTAGAATAGTTTCAAGTTCAGAATATTATACCACCTACCTTGTCTTTTTTTGTTGTTGTTTAGAATTGCTTTTGCTATTCTAGGTTTCTACTTGTTCTAAATTTAGTTTTAGATTGTTTTCTCAAGTTCTGTAAAGTATGCTCTTGGAATTTCAATTGGGATTATACTGAATCTACACAGCAGTTTTGGAAGTATTACCATTTTCACTATATTGGTTTTTCCTCTTGAAGAATCAACAAATCACAGAGAAAATTAAAGAAACTAGACAGTTTCTATAATTAAATGGCATTGCCAGAACAACATATAGGAATTTATGGGACACAAGAAAAGCACTCTTATGAAGGAAATTCATAGAAGTGAATACTTTTATTAAGAAAACAGAGTGAGTTCAAATAAACAACCAAATGCTTAACTTCCAGCTGCTAGAAAAAGAAGAGCAGGACAAACCCAAAGCTCATACAAGGGGGAAATTATAAAGATCAGAGCAGAAATCAATGCAATGGAGACTAAAAGAATAATACAAAAATATCAATGAATCAAGGAGTTTGTTCTTTGAATAAAAAATAATTTGACAGACACTTAGCCAACCTTATCAAAAAAGGAAAGAAAAGACACAAACCCGTGCAATCAGGAATGAAAAGGGTGAAATTACAACAGACCCAGCAGAAATCCAGATCATCAATGCCTACTTTGAGAACCTATATGGCAAAAGGATGGAAAACACCAAAGAAATGGACAGATTTCTAGATAAATATTGATTACCAAAATTGAATGAAGACCTAAAAATCCTAAAAACACAGTATCAATCAATGAAATTAAAAACACAATTAAAAACTTACCAACTACAAAAAGTCCAGGCCCTGATGGCTTCACTGCTGAATCCTACAAGATATTTAGAGAAGAACTATTGCTTCTGTTTAAACTCTTCAAAGAAGTTGAAAGGGAAGCAATATTCCCAAATTCATTCCTGGAAGCATGCATCACCTTGATCTCCAAAGCAGAGAAAGACTCAAATGCAAAAGAGAATATGCAAATCTCACTAATGAATACAGACACAAAAATCCTCAATAAGATACTGGCAAAAGAATGCAGAAGATCATCTAGATGAACATAAAAGCCAACCAAGTGCGATTGATCCCAGGGATGCAAGGATGTTTCAACATATGCAAGTTGATAACTGTAATACACTACACTAACAGAGCCAAGGACAAAAACCATATGATCATCTCAAAAGACGCAGAAAAAGAGTTGGACAAAATCCAACACCCAATCATGACAAAAGCCCTACAGAAAATTGGAATAGATGGTCTTTATCTCAATCATGACAAAAGCCCTACAGAAAATTGGAATAGATGGTCTTTATCTCAATCATGACAAAAGCCCTACAGAAAATTGGAATAGATGGTCTTTATCTCAATCATGACAAAAGCCCTACAGAAAATTGGAATAGATGGTCTTTATCTCAACCTGATAAAAGCCATCAATGAAACACCAACAGGCAACATACTGAATGGTCAAACCTAAAATTTTTAATGCTAATATCAGGAACAAGACAAGGATGTCTACTATCACCACTCTTGTTCAATATAGTTCTGGCAGCATTAGCTACAGCAATTCAGAGAAGAGAAAGAAATAAAAGAGATAAAGATAGGAAAAGAAGAAGTTAAATTGTCATTATTTGCAGATGATATGATACTCCATACAGAAGACCACAAGAATTCCATTAAAAGTCTTCTAGACTTAATAATTTAGTAGAGTACCTGGTTACAAGGTCAACAAACAAAAATCAATAGCCTTCCTATACACAAAAAACAGAATCACTGAGAAATTGTAGAAACAACTCCTTTTACAGTAGCATTCAAAAAATTGAAATACCTAAGAATCAACCTAATCAAAGAAATAAAAGACCTCTACTGTGAAAGCCATATAACTCTGAAAAAGGAGATTGAAGAGGGTATTAGAAAATGGAAAGATAGCACTTGGTCCTAGATTAGTTATTCTTATGAACATAGATGTAAAATTTCCAATAAAATACTAGCAAACTAAATGCAACAGAACATAAAAATGATCAATTGTTGTGATCAAGTGAAATTCATCCAAGGAATGCGAGGATGGTTCAAAATACTCTAATTAATGAATATAATGTATCATATCAACAAAATTAAAGATAAAATCATATCATTTCATTAGATTCAGAAATTATTTAATAAAATTGAATATCATTTCATGATTACTCTCAACACGGTAGGCATATAAGGACTATATCTCAACATAATAAAGGCTACATATATATATATATATATATATATGTATACTGGCAATATATAAATTGTGTGTGTGTATATATATATATAATATATACATATTGTATATATATATATATACTGTATATATATATGTATATATACATATCGTATATATGTGTTTATATATAAGTATGTATATATATATATACATACATATATATACAATATATATATATACAAAATACTGAATAGCATAAAGCTCTGTTTTTTCTTCCTTTTCTAAATCAAGTTTTAGGGTGAATTTTATTATAAAAGTTTAATTGTTCTGTTTTCTAAAAATTATAAAACATGACTTAAAAATAAAAACAATTTAGACTCTTGGGAACTTCTTTTGAGCAAGCAAAGGGTTGTAACTAAGGTGGTTTCCATCTTTTTGAGAGCTGTAAAAGCAACACTTGTGGCTGCTGGTGCCTCCTCTCAAAACAACATAAGGACCAGCTGTCTCTAGCACAAGGTTCTCTAGTCAGTAAGAATTTGAAACAGCAAGTTCTTCTCATTAATGCAGAACCTGTGCATGATCAGATTCTTGCCACAGTGAGAGATCTGGTACTCCATGACCAGGCAGAAATCCTCCTTCACACCATTGGTGATGCCCTTAGTGACTATGTGGTGCTTTATCAACATTCTTTGATTAGGTAGTGTCTTAGTTACTTTTCTAGTTGCTGAGACAAAATACTCAACAACCAAAGGAAAGGTTTAATTTCAGCTCACAGTTTGTAGAGATTTCAATCCATAACCGACTGGCTCCA